TGTGCGGCGGAGCGCGTCGCGTCGGCTCTGCAATCTGGAAAGCGCGGCCCGTGCGTGCCGCGGCCAGGTGTGTCGCCGCAGGGGCGGTTCGCGCCGCAAGGGGGCCGGAGCGGGATAGGGCAGGGCCAACGAGCGGGGCGCCCAGTTGGGTCAAATAGGAGGAGGTATTTATGTTTTCCGGGCGCGTACGTCATTAGTCCCTTAAGTGTAGTGGACGTTATACCTCGGTGATTCTACCACGCTATAACACAAGAACTGTCATTAATCTGTGTGTCGGAGTGTGGTTCTATTCCCTCTCCCTTAACGGGACACCTCACCAGCTCGGACACACTCTAAGTTTCTGAATGGTCTCCCGACATGTGAGGTAGTGTACGGCAAATAAATGTGTGAGTGCCTAAGAGGGGAGAAGACGAGGATGAGGAACGCCAGATCGCACACAATCCGTGATTAGGATGCAGCTCTGACACTCGTCTGACATCGATCGATGATACAACTATCGAATAGAACAGCTGGTGGCTAGGGTTCAACTCCAGACAGTGATTGAATTCGAGCAAGCTATGTACATAGTGTCGAAAATGCCTCGACCGCCGTGATTCCAACCCCACAAAATTCCCGACAAAACCGGAAACTCGTTCTTCCAAAGAGAAAATTTCGCTCCAAGCGCCACGTACTGGGTTCGCATCCCGACGGCCGCCCCAAGGCCGAGGGCCAGGGGAAGCCCTCCCTCCAGCGGCCGGGGCGCACCCGCGCGCGCGCTGCAGCCCTAATCGCGGGGCTAATTGCGAGCGGCTGCATTTGTTAGTGCGCGCGCCCCCAGCCGCCGCCGCCGCCTAATGAGACCGCACAACGCGATTCCCATCTGCGTCGCCGCCCACACCCCCTCCCCTGCCCTCTCCGCCAGCCCCCACCCACGCGCCCCGACGCACGCCTTAACGGACGCAAGCAGCAATCTACGCCGCCCCGCGCGCTATTATTCCTGCTTCCACGAAATGCGAGAAGTAGTACCTGTTAGTATGACTCCGAGGGCAATTATTAAATGGAATTTACAGTGAGTGTTATTGTGCATGTTTTATAAGTAAATGATTCAAAGTTCGCAGAAATTTACTTTGAAAAAATCAGGTTACCTCCATATTTGTATACGATAATCAAGAGAAAAATTATACACCTACTTCACGTCGTGTGCGTGAGTGTTAATTAAATGTTGCTTCTGCGAATAGTACATAATCATTCATAACAGCTGAGTTTTCATTATTCTTGACAGATAGATTATGGGGGAAATGTAACGGGGAAAATGTAACAGGGAAAATGTATCAGTGTTTAAGGAGAATAAGCGAGCAGAATGATATGTCAAGTAAAACTATGATAATCTTCCTTGCTAATACGAAATAACTAATTCCAACAAAATACTAGTTTTCTCGTATATTACTACAAAACGATCTCTTGAAAGACATAAATATGTGGTATTTTGTAATTGAAACTATCACGGGAAATAGGCTTTCAGGTCAGTGGTCAAAAGTGATTTTACCTTTTTTCCTCATTAAATGTTTCCGGCAGACCTTTAACTCACGGGGCAGTGGAAATTAAATGAAATTTTAAATGCATCATTCACAATTCCCCCATTTTCTTGTTTTAATTTCTAAAACTCTGAGCTAACTTGGGAAATTAACTATTTCAGATTCAGCACAGCAATACTGAAATATAAATATATGAGTACTAATAACTGAATACCCTGAGTTCGAAATGACAACAAACACAAGCAATTCACGCAAGGCGTTACTTTTCGACTTCTGAATCACACGCTTTACTACCTCGGCAGTCGCGCATGCAGAGGAAGCGGCGGTGTTTCCTGCTGCCTGTTGTCCATCGTCGACTTCAGACACAATAGCCATTCTTCCAAAGCTCCGGACGCCAGTAGGGCTTTTGTCTTTACGTTAAGTGCTAATTCCTCATTAAATCTCTCACCCCGGTGTGAGGACTCACGCCTCCGTCAAGGAACGTCAGCAGCTAAAAATAACTTCAGTTCGTTTTCTTGGTCTTCATACTCGAAGAAAGCTCTCAGTTACTCATTTGTACAAACGGACGTGGGAAGTGTTGAAGTATTACCTCGTAAAATAAAATTATTCGTTCTAAGTATAAACAGCATAAAATGAGTATGTAACTATTTTTCGTTCAAGTTCATTCAAACTGATACTGATATGAAGCACATTCTTCAAAAATATATAATCGCGTCTTCTTGTTCTTTCTTCAGACTTCACACACTAATCTACCTCAGAATTCGCGCAGTATAACTTTGTAACTAACTGCAACTGATTGGGATTAGCTTAAGATACTTTTATGAAAATAAATGATTTAATTTATTTGATGAGATGAAGCCGTATGTCGTAAATGAGAAGAATGTAAAACTAGAATTGATCGAAATCATATCTATATAAAAGATTTTTTTGGGGGAAGCACTATACTCTTGGAGTTACAACGAAAAGGAATACCCCTAATATTCAAAAAAGACATGGCGAGGCACAAGAAAAAGGATCTGGGCTGTTCGGGTGACGCCGCCCGGACAGCCCAGATAATGACTCTGGTCGCGGAAGCCTACGACATCCAGAAAAAGGATACCAGACGAAGATGTTAAAACGATGAAGGGTCGAAACACCGTAGAAACTCCACGGTCCACGACGTATCGTTTGCTAGGTCAGCGGAGACTTCAATGCACTCATTCCCGCATAGAGACCGGTAGCCGGTGCCAAAGAGGTAGCGCAAACGCGAGCGCGCTGGGACGGTCGCGGTGACGCCACATTCTGCGTCGGCGCGGCAAGGAGCAAGGCGTAGGCGAAAGCGGCGGCGCTCCGAAACCTCATCCCGATGCCGCGAGCGCCGCCGCGCCGTTCCGCGAATTCTCCTCGCGAAAGGCGGGCGTAACTCATGCGGCGCGCGCCGCCGCCTCCGCGCCAGCGCTGACCGCAACATGCGCCAGGCGGCGCGGCCACTCGAGCAGGCGGCGGAGGACAGAAGAGGGAGAATACGGGGAAGAGGAGGAGGAACAGAAGTATGTGGGAAAGTGAGAGGAGGAGGAAGAGGAGTGGGAGAAAGAGGAAGGAGAGAGGGAGGAGAGAAGAAGGATGGATGGAGGAAGAGGAGAAACAGGAGGGTTGGAGGAGGAGGAGGAGGAGGGAAGAACAAAGCCGGAAGGATGGCAAGCGAGAAAAAGAAAGACGGATGAAGATAAAGGATAAAAGGAGAGAAGAAAGGTGAAAGGAATGGAAGAGGTTTGGAGGAGGATGTATGCAACACGTTAGTTGGAAACAGAGAACGATTGATGGAGAACGCTAGATTGATTGATTAGAGATTCCCGGTGCGTTAAATGCCACAGTTATTAGTCCCGTAAAAAAAAGTGAAATGCAAATTTTTGTCGCGGGAGGTGGCGCTGATCTTTCCTCGCTGGATGGCGAGTTCTAGCGCCGACTTACACGTGAGCTTGCGGGGTTTTCCCTAAACAGGTATCTCCTACCACCGAAACATTGCCCTAGACGGCCCAAGCTCTAAGATCCCGACTAGACTTCCGTTATGTGTAGTGGTCTACTGCATGTAAATGTATAAGTAAGGCTTGAGGATAGAATAATGAAGGGCAAGGAAAGATCGCATGTGGTCCGCGATCCGTTTGACAGGGAACTGCTGGTGATGATCGGACAAAGCACGGAAAACTACCGATCAGAGCATCGGCCGATTGAATTCTCCTCCAGGCAGCGGTTGAATTCGCCCCAGCTATCGAGCTTGTATCGAAAATCCTGCCACCGACGGAACTCGATTTCCGGCCGGACCTGCAATGACTGCAATGTCAGGAGGATAAAGAAAGAGGTGGAGAAGGGAAAGAGGAAAAGGCAAAGGGAGGGAGGAGGAAGTTTGGACACGATGGGCGACGTGTGGAAGAAGACGTTGGCGAAACACGCAATGGCACCGTGCAAAATGACGCGCGGAGGAGCCATCTATTTCGGAAGAGGAGGTTGAGGGCCGGGGGCGTTAAGCGAAGAACACCTGTGCGCGCGAGGAAGGCGCCCGGGGCGAGCGGTGGAGAGCGGCCTGGCAAGGACAACTGCCGCCTCCGGCAAGGTCTGCTTGAGGCCGGAAACGCCGGTATTATTCATCTAAATCTATTCCGCGAAATGGATGACCAGATACTTCTCCTACATACTTTTCCAGAACGTGTGGAAATAGCATTGAAGTGCGCTGTAAATTTCAAGAATTATGAGAATGAGTCTTCTGTACCTATTGGGTAATAGAGATTTTTTAATGCTCAATTTTCTAGCAAACCTATTTCCCAAGAAGAGATTGTTTCTCATTACATTTATGAAGAACACTTTTTTGTTAATAAAATACTCTAATATATTTCTAAATTTCTAGTGGTCACGCCAAAAGCTGTTGTAGTTACGAAGGCGGTCATTTGCAAATCGAGTGCGTAGACAAGTGAAGGTTTGATGACAGTTTCGGCGGATACATTCGTGATGTGAATCTATCGTGCCTCTACAGACCGAATAAGTCTCCGTTGGTGAGGAACGAGAGGTAATGGAAAGAGAACCGCTGACAGCAGAGATGGATGCGTAGACATGTGGTGGTCGGGAATGATGGCGAGTAGGCGGTAACGGTTATGGCTAGACAAGGTGGAAGGTGAAGGCGATATAGTATGAATTAATGGTGGCTATTTCCGAGACAACAAAGCGGTGGTGTTAGAGGTAGCAGAAGAAATTTCATATCAGTGACGCCGACAGATTACCAGGAAGGTGATTCCAAGGATGTCGCGAGCTCAGAGCTACTTGAGGAAATCGGGAGCGAAGTCAACGGCGAAACCGATTCCCTGAAGAGATACGCAGATCCTGAGTTAATGGCACGCGTCTTCGTCCATCGCCATTGGCCGTCCACTGTACCGCCTTCGCCACTACATCACTTTTATTTTATTTTCCGAATCTCGCGCAACGTTTTGCAAACGACCAGAGGCATGCGATCTTGAATTAATTAACACTTTTAAGGGGAGGAGCCCAACGTGCAGGAATTCCCGACGTAAGCGAACGGAGCGGCTGAGCGACGGCCGCGCAGAGGAGTAGCTCAAGAGCTAATTGGCGGCGAGCGACGGTGGCGGCGGCGGCGGCGGCGGCGGCGGCGACGGTGACGGTGATGGTGACGGTAGTAGTGCTTCTGACTGTCGCAGAGGTTGGGGCGGTGGCTGAAGAAATGGCTGTAGCTGTGGAGGTGGTAATGGTGGCACTGGAAGGAGGCGGCAGAGGCGGCGGCGGTGAGGGTGACGGTGACGGTGACGGCGGTGGTTGTAGTGCTTGTGACTGTCGCGGAGGTTGGGCGGTGGCTGAAGAAATGGCTGTAGCTGCGGAGGTGGTAGTGGCGGCACTGGAAGGGACGGTGGCAGCAACTTTGACTCGCCATTGCTCGCGCAGTGTTAAGCCGCCGAACGTTCGTTTCAGAGAGCGCGCCTCCTTGGAAATGCCTTCACGAACCGCGACACTCGAAAGCACTTCGTGCGTAATGCTCGCCACAAAAAAGAAGGAAGTGTCTAGGGCGGGGATATGCGTCTGCCGATTGAAGATTAAGATCCCCATGACTTCGCATTCCACTTTACCGATTGCTTAATGACACACTCGCACCCTCGGGCAAACACGCTTATAAAATCCAATTACGAAATAATTTAAGATGCATGGGATTACGCTTGCTGCTCGCAGCATGATGTGTAGTTAATGTTTTTACAGCTATCGCTGAGGAGAGAGAGATGGAGAAGGAAAGTGGAAGGGAAAGAGAAAGAGAGAAGGAGGGAGAGGGTAGGGCAAGACACAATTTCGATGCGTACTTAACTTTTTTACAATCCCTTTGGAGTAATAGATAATGTAACATGTCTGTAATTTTGTATTGCATAGACGGATGCAGTCTATTATTAAGTAATTTTCTGAATTTACTACAAAAACCGAATATGAATAACAATTAATTAGTATACTACTATCCGATATTCAAATGAAAAATATCAACCGCACCCTACTCATGTCATCAATGTATTTAAAAGTAGGATTATTTTTAAACATGCAGACTATAAGTTAATTTGTTTAAAACTTCAAACTTGTATATTTGTTTTCAAAATACTACTGAATACTAATGTTGTCAAAATACTATTACGATTAGCATTCAGCTAGGAAATTGAAACGACCGAAGTTACAGTTCCACGCTTCAACAAAACCTTTAGCAGAGAAATCGACTGAATCAGGGTACTCACCAGCGGCGAGCTTGGCGGTGTACTCGGGGTTCTCGACGATGTAGTCGAGCCCGATGTGCGAGTCCATGGTCATGTTGTCGGGGGCGGCCGGCGGAGGGGGCTCCTGGGGGGCAGGGGGGCGCGGGGCCCGGGGCCCCGGATGCGGCGGCGGCCGCTCACAGCGCGCGCCGGGCCGTGCTGCAACACCACAACACTCGTCACACGCTGCACTGGCCCCGCTCACGCAATGGGTGGAGACACAAATGAAATGCACACGAGAATAAACACAAAATTAAGACAAAAACAATGTTGGAAAAATCAGCACAGTTCAAGGAAAAACCCTAATGATATCTTTTAGCCTGCTTCCTAAACACGGAGTCATAAACGTCTTCGAAAATTCATTATTTAAAAAAAATTGTCCTGTTACTTCGTTTTGTCCAATTTTTCTAGAAATAAAACATTAAATATTTTAACATGAATTATTAGTGTTCGTGCATTACATGAATACTCGTATTAGTATATAACAATATATTTGTTTACAATGAAATAAAAATATTGTTAATAATAATTAATGATAATAATTTGCAATAATAATAATAAACATAACAGTATACATTTATCTTTGTAGATATATCATAATAATATTATCATCGTATGGTATGAAATGGTATGAGAAGGAAATACTGTACCAGTTGAACATACTGAAGAAATCTGCGGAATCGCGAAGACGTATCCATCGAGATTCGCAATTTTATTCCGCGAGAAGTCGATAATAAGCCGACAACGTTTGTACGGATGCATGGTACGTATAAATTGCACTGAGGATTCTAGAGCATTGGGTAACGCATTCATATGCCTTCTGATCAGCGGAAACCAATATATCTTCCGAAAGATATTGAGGTCTTGCCTATCTCTGGGTCTGTTTGTCCAATCAGGAGGTGCAACTTTGACGTATCAGGGAGAGGCAGAGTAAATCCGCTCGTTATCGCGCCCGAAAATAAAAATCGCAATTGCCATTGCAAACAATTTGAAACGAATACTGTGAGTACGTTTCTTTTAATATATATTAATATATTAATCATTGTATAAAACATTCAAAATTTATCAATTAGAGTACATAAACAAATTACAGTACATCCGTTTACAACTAATATTCAACTGTGCAAGCCGTTCAGCATTAAGAAATAAATGAATTCCCCCTACAACGTATACATGGAAACCATCAGAATCAAGTTTTCGTATCTACCAGGCAATTTTCAACACTAAGTTAAATACTGGTAGAGCTAGCAATAAGTCAATAAAAATAAATTCATTTTCGACTAATTGCCCACGATATAATGCTAGTTCCCAGAGTCTAATAACACTAATAGCCTGTAATATGTTATTTGAATATTGTAAAAATCATAATTACATCATCAATTTCAATAATTACATCATCATTCATCAATTACAAATGAAACTAATAACTAATAACAACGTGAGGAGGAAAGCATTATCATGAACCCTAGTCTAGGCATTAAAATCAAAGCAACAATATAATTTGTGCTACAACATTCTACTCGTAATATAACTAATTTTTCCTTTAGAAATGAAGGATGCCTCCTTACTAACTACTCTATTACAGTATATCCGTTTCAAAGAAAGTATAATGTTTATTTCCTATCGCAAATTTTCTTAAAAATTTATTAATATTTTATAGAATGATTTGTATACCGTAAATTACAGAAATTAGTGCACTAAATTGAAAGAAGGAAGCTAAAGAGGGAAAAGCTTGTATCAGTAATGAAGGCAGGCCCTGTGGGCTGTGGCAGCACGTCCAAGAGGAATAAGGAAAAGGTGGAGGGGTGATGAATCTAAAGAGAACTATCTATACGTCTGGATGGATGAAGATAAAAAATAAGAAAAACATGAAACAAAGAAGTGACGAAGAAGAACACAACGAGAAGAAGAAGACTTTGTGAAGACGAAGAAAACAAAGAAGAAAAAGAAACAAAAAAGCGACAAAGAAGTACGAAACGAAGAAGGCTAAAAAAAATTAAGACTAAGAATAAACAAAAATGATGATAAAGGCAGACGATGGTGTTGAAGAAGAAAAGGAAGAAGAAGCAGAAGAAGAAGAAAAAGAAGAAGGAGAAGTAAAGAAGAAGAAGGCTGAGACTTATTGTACTCGCATCACCACTAATTTTGTAATGTATTGAATTGAATTGAATTGAATTAATGCCTTATTTTACGTTCCGAGACTCGGGCCATCAGACCCGCTGTTCCGTCTGACCACGTATGATATGAACACGTATGAAATGAAAACGAATCGTAAGATTTTGAAAGCGACATTTTCCATGGGACGTGCCATCTTCCATCTTCCTCGACAAGCAGCGCGGTGGCGAGGCGCGGAGTGCGCAGAAGCGCGACGTGGCGGGGCGTGCCGTGGCGTGGCGTGGCGGGGCGGGGGCGGGCGCTTCCGCGTGGGCGACACCCGAGCGCGGGCGCAGCAACCCGGAGCCGCCGCGGGCGGGGCCGCGCTTGCGCAGAGTACGCAACTGCAAAACGACCAGCGACGGAATCGACCTCTCGGGTTACACTTCGCGGCCGCTCAGCAGAGGCTGACGGCAGCTCGGACGCGAAGCATACCCCCCCCCCCCGGGGGACGCCCCCGGAGAGGGCAGGACGATTGAGAGAGAAGCATCCCGTGGCGAGGCGCGCCTCTTCCTGTTGCAAGAACGTGTTTGCTGTACGCTCAATATGCTTTTCTTACTAGGCTTCCGGGTGACGCCGGTCCATGGCGAAGGTGCCCGACGTTTTCCGTCGCCACTCCTGCGACCTTCCTCAGGAGCGTAATGCCCTGAACGGTCGCAGAATGGCCGACCGAAAGCGTCGGCCCGCTACCGCCCATGGACGCGGCGGTCACCCGCCGACAGCCTTTACGTAAATACTGACCCCGGCCGCGCGAAGCCTACGCTCTCCGCTCAATATGGTCTTGTAAGACCTGTCAGGCTGGCAACATGTAAACACACGTTTATGTTTTGATCTCTCCTTCTCATTAATCTAAATGTTCTCACGACCTCTTGCAGCTGAGGTCACTAAGATATGGGATCCGCCTTGGCTCTTCGCTTCAATGGTCCATTTGTTCGAATCAGCCGAGAGAATTAGATTATTTAGTAAGCTGTATTTTGCATCGGACATGACAATTTATTCCCTTATTCCGATAGGTTTAAAGAGGTGTCGAGCGTGACCTACTGGCGTGTACGAGGTGAATCTCCGCTGCTGACATAACCGGTTGTGACGTAGTGGAAATAAGAAAATAAATTTCAATAACCACAAAGAAAAATAATATACTTCCAAAGAATTGATGTATCAGTCTACAATGAAATTGCTAATATTAAAACACTCCGGCAACCTGTTTCCTTTCACCGAACACTGTCCTTACCGCCAGGAAAACACAAACCAACCGGGATGGTCGCGGTGTTCAGAGAACCGATCGCGTTGACATTACACGTCACATGGCCTGACGCCAAAATTTAACGCCAGGCTCTGGCGACCGTTGTGCCTACAGCACGCGAGATGTGTCTGGCCCTATACTACATCGCGGACATCTCGCCCACGAGCTCCTACACCCTTGTACAGCACGTAAGAGAGCTTCCCGATGCAAACTGAATGAGAAACGGGCGCGGCAGATGGCGCCGCGTTAAATAGTTGAGGCTGACACCCCCACCAACTGTTCCATAGGTAGCGACTCGCCGGCTGCGCTGAGACCTCGCAGGCACAGGCAGTTGGTTTTACGCCCAGCACACAGGCGTTCTCAGGTTGGCTGCCTGCTTCCGTAAACGAGGCTCGCGCGGCAGCATCCCTCGCGAGTTTCTACGCCGTCCGTAATTTTTTGGCTCTGCGCGCACTACCCTTGTAGGCAACCGCCGCGAGCGCAAACTACCAGATGTTAGCCTCAACCCCTTCCTCCCCCGCAGCGTACTTTCACCGACCTAACGGTTCTGGCCCTCGTGTTAACGACACCACACCGGGTCCCAGAGAGATCAGTAAGCACGAGTGTGCTGAGCCGAAGGACTAGAGATGTCAGATCGCCTCCGGTGTGTCAACGGCGTTACAAAACAACCTCGACGGGAGATGTGTATAAGTCATGAAAAAACGATCACGACCTTAATAAAAGTTATATGTGCTGTGAATGTAATATATGTAATTGCCTATAAGCAAAAAACTACCTATGTATCTACCGTAGTTAACTATCTATTTCGAAGACAGACATTAGCAATATCTGAAGACAGACATTAACAAAGGGTAGAAGAAGCAGTTGACTGCAAGTTGTAACATAATCTCCAAAGTTAATAAAATGTTTTGATACAGTGAAGATTCCCAAGAGTAGATAAATGATACTCTTGTAACTCCTTGAGCAAATCCTGTTTGACGAATTCAGAATAAATTACCTTTATTTTGTGTCAAACTTGGTCCATATTTTTATAGATCCATTTACCATTCCTGAGTAATATCACTCTACTGGCCGTCATTTAATTATAGACATTAAATTCCTCACCAGTAAAACGTTCTTATAGATATCGCATTCACCAAGAGTATTCAAACCTTCGAATTCTCACGTTACGAACCTTGCCTTTGAAATAAATTTGAAAATAAGACTATAAATCTGGCGATAATCCAGCTGCTCATAGACAGATTGTCCACATAGTTGTGCAAGAGAATTGGCATAACAATCCCAAGACACTATTCATTGCTATCCTACGGGTCAATGGTTACATGCTTCCTACGGGTCAATGGCATCTACTTTGAAACTCAGCGAGTCTTCCTTTACGGAGAGTTACTTAATAAGATACGTCTCCTACACGTCTTAGACATGACAATCACGTCGAACAAACAAGAGCGAAATATACAACAGCTGTTGTGAAAGATCGTGTTCTGAACTGGATTACTAATCCCCCGCAACAATGTAGACTTGGCCCGATAGCGGTCTAGAGGCAGCCGACGTCTGAAAGAGCGAAGGGTGACGGGGCGGCCGACGCCGATCGCCATCATTCTGCATCGTACACAATCGCCCCTTGTCGTGCGATGGCTCCGGCAGACGAGGCCCAGACGCCGCGCCCGACTTATGGGCAGGGACGGTGGCGTGTAGCTGGCGAGTTGAGCGAGATACCTTTTTCTGAAGGAAACCACTCCTTCTCGAGATTATCGCCGATCTA